AATAATAAAAACTCCCCAACTATTACAACTCTATAACATTCAAATTAAAAAAGTTAATTAAGTAATCCGTTTTATAAAAGCTATATTAATTATTAATAAACTTAAATTTAAAGTTAAAAAAAAACCCTTAATGCTTTATATTATAGGTTTAATATATAAAAGATATTAAAAAGCTATATTTAATATAAAATACCTATATATTATAAAATTATTTATTAATATATTAATAAATAAGGTAAAAAAAGCTAAAATAATAAACTACTTTTAATATTGCTTTAATTTTTTAAAAAAAAAATAAGCTTTATAAATAAAGCTATATTTAATATTATAAAAGACCTTAATATAAAGTATTATTAAAATCTTAAATAAAAGCTATTAATTAAAAAAAAAGTTTATAAAATAAAATTACTTCTTTTATTTAAAACTTATAAAAAGTTAAATATATACCTTATAAAAAAAGGTTTTTATATAATAAAAAAATTATACTTTAAAAACTATAAAGAAATAGCTTTATAATATAAAGTTAATTAAAGGATTATTTATAAAAAACTTACCTTTAATTATATATAAATATATATATATAAATTTAATAAATATAACTACTTTATAAAATATAAAGCTTAATTAATAGTTTAAAAAGATTAATAACCTTATTTAAATATAAAAAAAATATATACCTTTATATTAATAGGAAAATTATTTAAAACCTTAATAGTAATAATAGTTAAATTTAACTTAAAATTAAAGTAATATAATATAATTAATACTTTTATTAATATTAAACTAAATAAAAAAATTTATATAAGGATACCCTTAAGGTATAAAAAGAATTAATAACTATACTTTTTTATTTAAAATATATAATAATACTATATAAGTTATATTATTATATAAAAAAGGGGATATTAATATTTATTTATATAAATAATATTATTTTTATTTATTAAAGTTATTAAAAAGCTTTTATAATAAAATTAATTTAAAAATTTAAAATTAAATATTAATTTATAAATGGAAAAAACTTTTAATAATTTTTAAAAATTAAAGTAATTAAAAATTATTAATAAAATTTAATTTAATTCTTTTAATTTTTATATATTAAAAAGATTAATAAGCTAAATAATTTAAAAAAAAAATATTTAATACTTATAAAAATTTAAAAATTATTCCTTTATTAAAGATTAATTATAATTAATAAAATATATATTTATTAAAAAAAAATAAGCTTTATTATATATATTATAATAATTATATATTTAAATATTATATTTTTTATATTAAAACTTTCTTAATTTAACTTAAATTTTAATTTAAAATATTATTATAAAGTTAATTAAACCTTAAATTACTTTTTTTAAATATAATATTATACCTTTAAATTTAAAAAAAATAATAATTTTATTATTATAAATAATTCTTTATTTATTAATAATACTATTAATTATAAAAGTTTATAAATTTATATTATAAAGCTATTTAAAAGAATTATTAATTAAAGAATAAATAAATAAAATATTATAATTATATTAATTATTAAAGCTAAACTTTTAACCTTAATATAAATTAATAAAAAAGCTATATTTATTAATTAATTAATTAAAGAATTTAAAGTTACCTTAAATAATTAATAGATTATTTTTTAATATAATAATTAATAAATTATTAAGCTTTTAAAAAAGGAAATATTTATATTAAAAATTAAGCTTTAATATATAAATATATATAATTATTAATTATAATAAAAGGTTTAAAAAGAAATATTAAATATTATTTATATTTTTATAAATAATATAATTATAAATAAATTTATAAAGGTACTTTTAATAATTAAATAGGTTAAATTTATAACTTAATTAAAGTTAAAAGATATAAAAATATATATTTTAAAATAAAAGTAAAGAAAGATTATTTAAAAAAACTTTAATAGCTTTAAAGATAAATTATTTAAAGAAAAAATAAAAATTTAAATACTATAAAAATAATTTAAAAGATAGCTTTAAGGTAAATTATAAAGCAATTAGCCCTAAGGGGGTATATTAAAATAAAGAACATATTAATAAATAATATAATATATAGAGTAAGCTAAGATAGCTTTAAATTTAAGGATCCACCTTATAAAATTATTAATATATACCCCAGGGGTAGAGCAGAATCTGCTTAACAATAATATACACACTTCGAAGCTTCCAATTAATTGGCTCGCCTATTCTGACACTATATACAGCGGGTTATCCCCGCGGTCAAGAAGACCGTATTCTGTATTCCTATTCATACAATTCTCCTTCCGTACTGGATAACTGAATAACTCATCCATTTACCCCACTTATTAGTCATCTTCTGAACTGCTTATTAAGATATATATGCAATTACCTAAACTGACCCACCTAGCCTCCGAGAAGGCTAAGTTAATGAGTCAAAAATTGTGGGAATTGCTGATATCTGGAGTGGGTCGAGGATATACGACGCTCAGTTAGTAGATGATATGCTTAAACCTTCTTAGAGGAATGCTACTACGGCTTGACATATCCTACTGCAATCGCGGCAGAGGGTTTCAGTGTGTTAACTCTGATTCATGATATTGGTAGGGGACAAGCCTTAACACGGGGTTTCCACATGATTATAAAAGGTCAGAAAACACCATATATAATTTGGAGCAATTCGAAAGTGAGAAGCTAGATCTGCATCTATATAGTTATTCAAATACTCCGCATGGTCTCTCTTTCAACCTCGAGGTCCGGGGACAAGCCGGGTTGTGCTCAGCTGCTGGACCAAGATTGCCAATGCGCCTCCAATAGCATCGCCGCCAAAGTTTCCCAGACCTGCAAAACTCATCGCAAAGCTACGAACCTCGTCTGGCTCTCCAGCGCGTTGGAAGTCCCGGGCAATCTTGTAATTAGTGTTCGTCACTCCGCCACCAACACACCCTCCAACTAAGAACATCACCACAATCCAGACGCCGTAATACGTTAAGAACGGGTAGAACAATTGTACAAGGCCGATTGCCAGAAGTGAGATTTCAGCGCCCGTCCATATCCATATGAGCGGGATATGATAGACCGATGAGAATGTACTAAATAGGAACTGCGCAGTCCCATAAGCAAGAACTTGAGACAACTATCAGTCAGGGGTCTAATTACCAATATGAATTTGTTAAGACTGCGTGGCTGCTACTCACAACCTAGTTGAAACTGTATATCACCTTCTGGTTTGTTTCTTAACCGGTCCAAGGTCTGGAGCGATGGGGAAGTTCCTAAGGAGGAAATAGTTGCCGACGACGTGCATAGAAATAACGGAACGACGTATTTGGGAACAAGTCTCTTGAACACCAGCTGCAGCCGCGATCGTTTAGGGCCGAACCCTGGCTTCAAATTACCCGCCTGATGTGCTTGCAATGACCACTCATCAGTTGTGCCGATGCTAGATTCGGCGAAAGCTTCATCTCCAAGTGGTTGTGTATTCTCCGCAACTGCGCGTCCGCTTCCCGACTCACGCCGGGATCGCTCAGCAGCAGTACGTCTAGTCTTGTCCACAAGACCCCACCAAACGATTGGAATGATGACGACTGTTGAGAGCAGCGTGAGGAATGTACGACGCCAGCTTTGCTTGTAGGCTGCCTCGAGTCCAATGTAGAGAAGAGGGCCCAGAATTATTCCGAAGCCGCTGCCGACGCTTAAGCCTAGCACGGCTTCCGCCGGGAAGAAGGCTGCGACTGATAGGTAGACGTTTGTTCCAAAAGCATAGACGAACCCTGCGAGGATGGTGCCGATGACTGGGCCTGCCAAGTTCTCTTTGCCGTCACCCAGAGGATGGGGCAGGGTGCAGATGATGTACGATAGGAGCGAAGCCACAGTACATAAGATTGTACATTGATCGTACGAGACATAACGAATGAGGAATGGGCCGCCGAAGGAGATGATAGCAGCGCTGGCAGATGCTACAACTTCATAGAGCCCAGTGAGACCAGAGAACGTTTCGTTTGATGCCGTAGTTGTAACCGCGGCCGGTAGTGATGCCTGTCACTTACTTGTCAGTTCAGCCAACTCAGAGGGACAAAGGAAGGATCTCAGTCTGCTGAACATTTCGACTGACTAGAACTCCCAACAAGAAGAACCCGGCTGTGGTCTTGTTCCACCTCAGGCGATCACCATTGAATTTTTCTTCAGAAATTGCCATTGGTATCTCCGCGTCGTGTGACTTGAAAGGCGTTTTGTCGTCTGTAACGGCGTCCCCAAGACCCAAGACACTGTTTTGGGAGGTCATAGTAATATTCGAGCGTCGAAAAGATTAATCGAGAGAAAGTTTACAGTGTTAGGCTTAACCCAAACCTTCAAAGATCCAAACGATTGAACATGAATACTCTCAAGTAGCTACCGTGAAATTCGATTCAAACACAAAACTGTAGTTAACGATCAGCTCATTGACATTCCCGGAAATTGTACTCGTAATTTCGATTACAAATTCTCTTCAGTCGCTGATGACACCCTGACTATCTCCCAAGCTTGGCAATATCTAGAGTCTGACTGATGCTAGTGTTCATACATGCATCGGCCAAGGCATATGACCAAGATGATTTCTTGTGAACAATAAAGTAAGCTGACTTTACATACTCGAGTGGAGTTTTGAGATCATACGATGCTCTGAAGAGAGATTTTTTCACATGAAGCGGTGAAGCAGTGCGGCGACGGAGACGAAATTCAGAAGGTCACGAATCAGTCCAAATCAACTACTGAGGGTGGAAGACGAATTCATATATAATATGGGCATACGGTTTCTCTAGACTATAAATCTCACCTTCGTAACATAAGTAGAAGTAGAGCAACAGGAACTAGCACGGTATTACTCGCTAATTATGGCGCCAGTTTTCTACAACCTCCCCGACGAGGCCGCTCTGGATATGGCGGATTCCTCACTGCTACCATTGAAGGATAACGTACAGAGTGTTCACACCAATTGGTTTACATTCGGAGAGGAGACTCTAAGCTCGGAATCGATCCAACGTCTTCTTGAAAATCGAATTCCAGTAGTTCGTGAGAAACAATTCCTTACGGCAGAGGAATGTCGAAAATTGCTGGAGATTACCAAGACACATGAGATAGTAGGAAATTTCCCTATAAACTCGGGCTTCCAGTGAAACTAATTTAAACCTTACTAGGAGGATTACGAGCTTGAAAACACATGGCCGCGTTTGGGAAAGATCGGACTGACACACTTTGATTATCTTGATAGTGAGTGCTGAATAGAGGTCAAAAGAGAGCTTTCCTGGTGTACTGATCTACTTGAAGAGCAGAGTGAATATTTTGACAACGTGGAAAATGCTCGCTCATTGCAGGCTCGATGGAAGACTGAAGCTGGGATTGACATAGTTCACCGTATAGCGGAGAAATTGCATGAGATCACGGGTATTCCAGTAGAAATAGCGCAGGACGGCGGAAGAGAGTATTTCGCAGGCATGGTTCGGGCGTCTGATGCTGGTATTGACGTCCATGCAGACTGGGCGCCCTATGTATGGATGACCTCTCTGCTCATTATAATATTGCGTCATATTGCTAACCAAAATAGGAAGCGCCAGCGTGGGCTATCAGCAAGATCTCACGCCAGCTTACCTGGAATATCTTATTGAATGAGGTTCCAGGCGGAGAAACAATCATCTATGATCGTCAATGGAGGGCCCCCGAAGATGACCTGAAATGGAGACCGGCTCACCGAACCCACTCTTACCAAAAGAGGATGCTTGAAGGACGTCCCTTCAAAGTAATGCCGGCGGTCCCTGGTGATCTGACTTTCTTCAGTCCTAGGTGGGTAGCAAGATTTGAAGATTCCGCGGAAATCTAACTTTTTGAATAGAAACTTCCACGAGGTGCTCCCATGCGAGACATCAAGCGCCCAGCCTACCGCAGCGACACGTTTTACCGTGTCTTCAATGGTAGGGCTAAAGCCTGCCCAAGGATCTGAACCGGCCAAGTTTGTATTGTGGTCCTGAGTGGCTGAACTATTTATGTATGGTCAGATAAGTCCACTTGAAAGGGAAATATTCTGCGATGGGAATGTTATGTAACGGAAAAACTGCTACCCAACGGGTACCTAGTTCTCTTGCTTTATTATTTATTATGAATACGATCGATTGTGTAACCTGAGAATTTGCTAATCCCGTTAGCACCATCCGAACCCTTGATTGTTGTACTGGAGGGGGCCCAGGGGGGACAGTCAGACGGCACGATCCGCCTTCACGTAGCCAATTAGCCAGCTGATCTCCCCTCTTTGACAGATCTAAAGGATAATTACCTAATAGTTGTCAGCGCCACGCTTGTGGACGTAATCACTAGGAAATGCGAGTCTCTTTTTGGTGTAAGAGCCGTGCTGGGCAAAGAAACCTTCGTTTTCCAGGGCCCTCAACCCATCTTCAACCTAGCTACATAGATATATCGGTAACCAATGAAAGCTTCCTACCGCCGTGGATGCCTTCTTTCCCCGCCCCGTACAAATCCTACTCCCAGGGGAAATGTGAGCCGGATGTCATTCGGAGCACATGCTATCCGACCCAACCGTCAGCGGTCTGGAACACTCACCATTCATGCGCGTAACATCGCATTGGACGATTAAAGTCTCTTTAATGTACCCATCGTGATGGTTGCCAGATGGCACAGCCATTAAGCGTTCATTTGCGCTAGGAATTATTGTAAATTGTACGCTGAGTGAGGGGCATCTTCACATTCCAAACATTTATGTTCCTAGACTTCATACCGTTATCCCATAAGAAAGAATGGCTTGTATGTAGGATTTAGGTAGATGAATCAACTAAATCCACCTTGGGGGTCGTTTTTATGTCATGATGTAACGAAAATTGCGTCTCACGTATTCCCCAAGAGTCTTAACTTGCTCGCGCCCCGCCGCACCACTCAAAGATGCTTTTACAACAAAGTAAGCAACGAACGGCCATTTCCCTGAAAGATGCGGGCCCTCAACAACTTGTCCATCATGCATCAGTACCCTATAATGCGGTATATGAGTCATGATCCATTGAGGAAGCGGTTCCGCCGCGGAAAATACCCCAGCCTCCCGGACGGGAATGAAGACAACGTTCGTAGGATACCGGATATATTCGCCTAACGGCTCACTCAAAGTTCGTATTGACTTCATCATGGAGTCGTGTCGTTTGTCTCCTTGAGGTCTCTGTAGAGCTTGAAGAATGTATAACGCGTAGTAATCAACGCCGTATGTATACTTCACAGCAATTGAATCCTGATATCTGGGTGCACCCACCTTGACCTTCCTCACAACAACAGTTGGCTCACCGCGTCTCGAGCCAGTATTTCTAGGTCCAAGCGCCAGATCCGTGTCTTTCGGTCGATACTCCATTTTGCTACCACTCACCAAAGCTTCGACGTAGAACAGCCCGGTGGTCAGATTCAGCTGCCCCAGTTGGCTGACAATTGAAGATCGTAGCAAGTGATGCTCTTCAAGCGGCCATACGGCAGGCATGATGGAGGGAGTCTCTGCAAAGGAGTTGGCCACCCGATTACCCACCTCCTCTAGAGATGGAGAGTCATCACCGACCTCAGCGAAGAGAACCTCCCCATCAACCAGGACAAAGTTAGCGTGCATCTCTAGCCCAGAAAGATAAGGCTCAACGAGATACTTGTGGTTCGGCAGGCTTCGCTCGAGCATTTCCACTGCATTTATCAGTTCATCTTTAGAATCAACAACCATCACGCCCTTAGAGTACCATCCATAAGCTGCTTTAGTGACTAGAGGAAACTGTACGGTTTCCAAGGCCTCAAGCTTGCGCTTCAGGTCAGCTTGGCCGTCCGTAGTGATTAAGGGTAGACAGGGATTCGTGAGCTCGCGCATCCAACCCTTCTCACTCAATGCCGCTATTGAGTCTGGTGGGTTCGTCCAGAGGCCAATTGACTCAGCCGCTTCTGCAGTTGCAGCAAGGTATGCGTCCGAAAATGTGATGACGCCATGAATAGCCTCACGGCTCCTGCGCAATGTTGCCACAATCCTAGCCGAAAGACCTTGGTTAGGTGTTAAGTCACACACCAAAAATTCGTCGCATAGGTGACCCATGCTTTCGCTCTGAAGCCAGTGTCCATCCTCGTCAAGAACAACGACATCAACTCCCAACGCTGATGCGGCAGAGTAGGGTCCATCGTCATCTGTCGCAGCCGATGGATGGGACCCTCCGCCAATCATAGCCAGCCGGCGTCTAGGCTGGGGCTCCTGAGTTATCCATTTGAATGATAGCCTAATGGTAAGTTCCATCTCTAACTCTGCAAGAGCACTTTCTGCCATTCTTTGGGTAGCAGCCACATCCTTCAGAAGGATAGCGCCGAGAGCCCGTTCAAATGCTAGTCCGAAGACGTTGCCGGTGCTAGGAAATTCTTCAACACGAGTCTGAGACGTGGTAAAAGCCTGGAAATCTTGTATGAGGGGGCAACTAAGTAGTCGACACCTCATTAAGTTGCTGTGGAGTATATGCCCATCGCTGCCGGGCAAGACCAGTTTCATCACTATACGATAGGAGGTATTGCCTTCCAATGTACGTGTCACACACTTCTGTAGAAATGAATAGGCCTGGGGACCCGAATCTAGAGGCAACTCTAGATCCACCCTTCCTTTCTTCTCCTCAGAGAGTGACTCGAAAACGACAACAATATCCAGGGTCCTAAATGGCGCTCTGGACCCTTCTGGCTTTTTATTTAGCCTCCAAAGGCAGTGAAAACTAGCTATCATGGCATGAGATTTTTGTTCCTGCAACGTATTGACGATAACAACACATACCGGTTCTGTCTGATAAGACAAGCCTAATGAGGGAGTGTGCAAAGCCCGGAATTAATGCTAGAGAATCCATGACTTTCAACGAGGTTCGTTTTTTAGTACTGAAGCTTCTTATTCTTGAGTGCACAGAATTTTGCGTTTGCATCGTATATGGCAAGTTTATATAACTATAGCTACTACCAGAACCCTCATTGTCCTCACATCCGCCTCCCAATCATGCAGACGATGTTTTTTTTTAAGCAACCCCCCCAGCTCCTTGTTGGCTTTCTCTAGGAAACTCTGCCATGTCAAAACAAGCTGCCATTCTTCTAACGTGGCACCTGTGGAGCTATTCTCACGATGTGGGATGAAGCTGACTTTGATGAACTCTTGCGTGGCCAAGACTTGCATCTTACTCCAAGGCTGCATCATGTGCTTTGAAAATTGCTTGCGGTGCTTAGCAGCTACCCCCGCTAAGCAACTTTTAAGAATCCGCGATAATTTGCGACCCAACTAAAAGGGTTAAAGTCACATATTAGTAAGTGGGTGGAGAAGGAAGTTTGCTCTCCAAGGGCGTCAACTGATTTTAGCAACTCTTACCGTGCTTAATATATTTGGCGTAATGGGAAATAGAACTCCTCGGCATTAGGTTGCATATACATGTTGATTACGTCCAGCTCGTCTCATTGGAAGAGAACCCCTAGCTCCGCGATAGATGATGAATCAGCAGTGGGTAGTACAATAACTAAAAGCGGCAGGACCATGCGAACTGAGCATGGCCTCATGTTTCCTACAAGCGGTGTTGGATCACAAATTTTGACATAGAGCATCAGACCTCGACAGTGAACGATATCATAGTAGCATATGGTGTGATCGCGTGATCCTGACAGGCAGTCTAGAACATGTAACCCTAAATTGAATGGCAGCCTGGGAGTCAGAGGGAAATGTGCTGATGAAACATCGGACCTATGTACTATAGTCGACTCGAAGGGCGGGCTGGTTGGCTTCTGCCACCATGTTCTACCATAGTTCCATCCTAATGTTTTACATTGGCGATATTATTTGTCAGGTCCACCCGGAACCACAAGTGAAGCCGGCAATCTCCCTGTATAGAGATAGTAAAGTCGACGAGTCGTCCTTCCATTTGGCCTTTGATCATCTAGTGCTAGAGGTATGGTCTGGGATGCCCTTTGATGTCCCTTGAAAATGCTTTGGTTCTCAGGCTATTGAATCAATTTGGAGTTAAATTCTAGTGCCAGGTTATGTTGCTTGGGGTGCCACCGCACATACGTATTTATCTTTTAGTTTAGCTAGTGTTGCATAGTCTTTCTAGGCGGATCAGTAACCACTATTCCTGCTTGCTGCGTTATTCCCCTCACATTAGTATCCGCAATCCTCCATAAACGCCAAAAGGAATGAGTTCATAGAAAGTTGGCATAAAAGTATGTAACACTAAATAGATGGCGGCATTAACAAGAAAGTGCAGCTCCTTAGTATTCTGGGTAGTCCCAATTGCCCGGAGCACGCCACCCAACGACAAGAGTATTCCATTCGGTTGTCCAGCACGTCTCCGTCGTCGAACTTAAAAACGTTACAATCGCTCTAGGAAGGCCTATACCAAACAGAAAGTTCACTACTATTAATAATAGAATAGAGTAGTTATAACGAGTCCCCTAACAAATATCACTAATAAGATTTTCGAAGGAAACAGCCAAGAATAAGCCACACTGTGCCAAGTAATTGAATCTAGCGGTCGACTTAATATAGACTATCTGTAGTAGGTTTAGAAGAGGGAAAGCAATGAGCAACAGCACAACCAGAAAGATGGTGAGGAGCACGGCCGAGATCACGAAGTATCGAATTGGGGATGCCAAATAATTGATCTCTTGTGTGTTAATGCCGAATTTTGACAAGAATGCAATCTTAGATGAACCTATACAGGTAGCGTGTAACTTGAACCGTCTTACAATATCTGCACTGAGAGGAACAAACGTTGTCGCCAATGCTGTTGAATAATTACCTGACGCTGTCTGACTGAGACTATAACAAGGGCAGAGATACTGAGCTTGGAATCTAGGCAATTTAGATTATAATGATCAACTAGGGCTGTATGAGTCCTTGACCAACCAACTCCTTCTCGGCTGTTGGTGGCTTGAGATGACTCTATATACAAATGATCTGCCAGCCCAGACCGCCTGGGTCTCTAGGGTCTGTTTCAAGAAGCGAAGTCTGTATAACCTCACTTTCCAATATTGCCCAATATTGCCTGCATGTCTTAGAAGGTCATGAACAGCCTGCAATGGTCCTTCGTACGGCCGAAGTGCAAGGCGAACTGCATTCTTCAACCGGCACAGAGGTTACACGTGTAACACTTAATTCGATTATATATACAATTGGTCTGCCAGCTTAAACATTTAGGTCTTTGGGGTCTATTTTAAAAAGCTAGATTTATATAACTAACCTTACTTTTTAATATTGCCCAATATTGCTTATATATCTTTGAAAGATTATAAATAGCTTATAATAGCCTTTTGTATAGCCGAAGTGTAAGGCGAACTGTATATTTAGCTGGCATAGCGTTTATGCGTGTGACAGAGATAGATTACGTTGCTTAATAATTATTGTTAAAAAGGGAAAGCGGTAATACTTATATTCTATATATTAGAATGTTAGGAATCTATATATAAGACCTTTATCCAGCTAGATAATTATATTATAACTTAAACTTTTAAATAATTTAATAGGATTATATATATTACTTTTAATAGGTTATAAGCTTAAACGTTTATTTAAATGTATTTTTAGCTATTAAAGGTTAAAATTACACTTTATCTTTAACCTTCCACTATTTATAAATATAAAATAACAATATGCGTTAAAATTTTATTTTATTAATCCTATAAATAAAAATTATATAAAAATATTATTACTTTAAATAATAGTTAATAAAGTTAGGTTTTAAAGGTTAACTTAAAGAATTTTTAATTTATTAATTCTTTAAAATGGATAAAAGTTAAACTAATTATATATAACTAGCTATTTAAAAATCTTTAATTTAACCTTTTCCTTTTAATAATTATAGGAATAATTATAATTATATTATTAATATCTAATAATAAAAATATTATTAAATATTTATTATAACCTTTATAATTAAGTATAACTTTAAGTATTTAATATTATTTGCTTTTTAAGTATTTAAACTTTTTCTTATCTTTTATATAAAGTTTTAATATAGTTTAAATACCTTTTTAATTAAGAAAATATAAATAATTAAAATATTAATTTAAATTTAAATTATATTAATTAATTATCTTTATTTTTATTATTATTATTAAAGGTATTTAAAGTTTTCTTTTACCTTTTAATGCTTAATAATTAAGATCTTTTTAATTATAAAGTTAATATTTTATTTAGTTATTAAACCTTAAAATTAATTACTTTAAAGGACCTTTTTATTAACTTTAATGCTTCTCTTTTTAATATTAATTTTTAAATTAAAGACCTTAATTTAGATTTGCTTTTTATTTTAATTAAAGACTTTTAAGGTAATTATTTTATAAACCCTTTTCTATTAAATACCCTTTTAAAAGATTTATATTAATAATATATTATAATATTAAACTTTAAAGAAGAAATTAATTAAAAATTATTAATTATTGTTTAACTTTATATTATAAAACTTCTTATAGCTATTAATCTATTTATTAAACTAATTAAGCTAACCTTATTAATTGCTATTATATTATTTATAATATTAATAATTAATTAAAATATTATTAAATAATATTAAAGAGTTTAAAAAGGTAGCCCTTTTTAATAGTTTAAAATAATAGTTAAAGTGGAGCTAAGATATATAAGAAAAACTTAATATAAATAGGTTTATTTAAATATTATTAAGAGGGCTTTATAAAGTAGCCCCTTAATAAAAAGAAGAAAAAGGTAAAGGAACCTTTTTTATTAAAAAGGATAAATAATTTAAAAAATATAATATAATTAATGCTATAATCTAAAGTAAATTGTTATAAAATACTTATTAATAAGTTTAACCTATATTAATAAAGCCTTTTAATATATTTACTTTATTATAAAATAAGCTATATTAAAATTATAAGCTTAAAGGAAAGGCTTAATTTATATAATATTATTAATAATAGAAAGAAATAATATTTAAATTTATTAATAACATTATTTAATTTATTATTATATTATAATAGATTTAAATAAATATAATTAAGCTTAATTTAATTTTAATTTAATTATATTTATATATTATTAAAAAATTTATTAATAGTTTTAAATTTAAATTTAATTCCTTTTTAATAACTTAGGAAATTAATACCTTTAAAATTTTAATTATTAATATAATTAGAATTATAATATAAGTAATAATTATTTTAAAAGAGGTAATTAATATAGCATTATGCTTTAAATAAGGTTAAAAGGAATAAGTAATATAGATTGCTCTTTTAATTATTAAAGTTAATCTTTTTTTATTTAAATAATAATTTAATAATAAAAGGAAGGTATATTTTAACTATAGTAAAATGTATCCTTTTTTTTATTTTATAGTTTACCTTAAGTTTAAACCTTTAAATTAAGATAAGGATATATATTTATAATAAATAAAATAGTATAAAGATAAAGTAAAGAAATTTAAAGGGAATAAGGATATAAGGGGGGAAAGAAAAATAAACTTTGCTATATTTTTTATATTCTTTTAAGGATTATTATAAGCCCTATTTATTATT